AAACGCCACAGTCACCTCTTGGCAATTGCATTGTCCTTGGCAACCAACAATGCCCAGCAAATTTCCAGACATCCTCAGGGGTATGTGCCTCTTCCACTTTGTGCCGTGAGGATATTGAATTGCCATGGAGCTATTCTCTGGGAAGAGACCATGACCAGCCCAGAGCTCTTTTTACCTTGATATATTCATGTTAATGAAAATCAGATTCTGTCTTCCAGTCACTGCCTTATCTGATCAAGTTGGTGATTGTTATTTTCATACCTGATGGCTCTTCACTGCACCCTGATCGATTTTCCCACTTAGTTTACAATTCCTCAACGTTTCTCTTACCAAGGGGGTTTTCAAGCATCTAAGCTGTAAGGATGGGTGACTAACATATGGCTAGGCCTCTGCACATGGACAGCCAGCGTCCTAGATGTGAAGGACCACAGGAGGAGTGGCGGTAACTGCTGCAGGACTTCAGAGGAGAGAGTGAGGAGGAACAGAGGGTTTAAAGTGGGAACTCTGACCCTACGGCCCAAGAAACTCAGAAAAATCATCTAAATGATGGAGCTGGCTGGGCCAAGCGCACATATCCTTCCAGCCTTGCCCACATGGCATTTTTTTTCTCCCAGGTCTCCTAAGTATGGAACTTTTCTCTGCAGTGATTTTCAGTCACTGTGCCACAAGGATTTTTAATACATACAATGCCTGAAAATTTAGGCAGGGGCATGGATTTCTTTTCCCTTAGATTGTCAAATAAAAAAAAATGACAACAGCCAATACAACAATAGCCATCCAGTGAGAATGGGTGTTCTCCATAAGTATATAGGTCATTCAATGGAGTTGCATTTTATTGGTCATGTCGCATAACAAGGTTGCATCTGATTGGTTAATTCTTGGTACCAGAAATCCTTGTATACAAATACAGGTACCTAATTTTTTAAAAAGTCATTTTGGAGCCAAAAGGGTTATTATTATTATTTTTGTAGATCAATCAAAATCATACCTATTTTTTGTTAGATCAGGAAAAAATTTTTTTGGTGTGGCACAGAATTTTAGTATTTACTTTATGTGTGCCATGAGGTAGAAAATGTTGAAAATCACTGCTCTAGAGTTTTTGTGAACCAATGGCTGAGACCCGATGGTTCCCAAGACAGAGAGAAGGGAACCCCTAATGTCAAAACTCTTCCCGTCTGGTGTGTCCAGGGAGTATGAAGCGCAGAGATGTTTGTAGCCGAGGCTTGGCATCCCCTTTGCTGTTCATTATCACCCTCCCGTGGACCGTCCAGACTGGTGCTCTTTTTTCTGCCTGTGGCTCATCATTCGGCCACTGACTCACAATGAAGGGAGGCAGTACTCTGCCAAGTGCACTATTCATTGGCAAGGCCAGTTTTGTCAGTTCAGAGGACAGAGCTTGTGGTGCATCCTGGCCGGCAGAATCTGTGTATATTGTGGCTGCTAGAGAACAAATACACATGGACAACAGAAGTCCTGTGGAGAAAAAGGGACAGCATGGCCACTCTCTGAGAGAGAGGGTGAGAGGGCCAGAGAGCCCAGTCTCTGCCTGGCCAGGCTTTTATTGCTTCTCTGGGTCCATTACATAGAGAGTAGTCCTCATTTACTATGCACAGGTTCACTGCAGGGGACTGACTACCTTTTACAGATAACGAAGGAAAGAATGTTGCTAATTACTTCAAAGAGAAGGATGTTGCAGGTCAGGGGGAAAAGTGGTTGAACTGGTTATACTCCATACTTGGGAGGTTTAGCGCAGACTTTAGGAAGTTACAGTAAGCCCTTTCTGCCTCAATTCAGGGTGAGGGAGTTTTAGCAAAAGCGAGTCTCATAGCAGTCTAGGTGCAATGCAGGCCTGGTTCCCCATGGGAAAACGTCTCCGTGGGCGTGGCCCTGCATGCCACTCACTCCCCACTGGTTTTCCATGTGAGTGCTGAGCTATATTTCCATGCCATACGAAGTGGTTCCCTACAGTGGCTCTTAGTTAAAATTAGGGGTTTGGATTTTTTTTTCAAATTTTTGTTCAAGTGAAGTTGTCTGCATTCTCCCACCATCCCATTTTCCCGACCTCAGCCATTCCTACCTCCCTCCCCTGATGTTAACCCCCACCTCAGTTTTGTCCGCATGTCCTTTTTAGTTGTTCCTGAAAACCCTTCCCCCCTTTCCTTCTATTATTCCCTCCTACCTCCCCTCCAGTCACTGTCAGTTTGTTCTTTATTTCAGTGTCTCTGGTTATATTTTGCTTGCTTGTATGTTTTGTTGATTAGATTCCACTTAAAGGTGAGATCATATGGTATTTGTCTTTCATTACCTGGTTTATTTCACTTAACATAATGCTTTCCAGTTCCATCCATGCTGTTGCAAAAGATAGGAGCTCTTTCTCTCTTTCTGCTGCATAGAATTCCATTGTGTAAATGTACCATAGTTTTTTGATCCAGTCATTTACTGATGGGCACTTAGGTTGGATTTTCTTCATGATCATCTATTTTGTCTCCTACCCACTTTCCCTGGCAAATTATCAAGAATTGCCTATGAACATCTTGATTTCTACTTTTAAGTCTTTCTAGAGTACTAAGTCCAATAGTCTCTGTTTTTAACATTCTTACTTATTTTTTTAAAAAGTAACTCTCCCTAAAAATTGAATCATAGTCAGTTATTTCAGATTTTAGATGTTGACCCTCCTGTCTCTGAGATGATGCTCCTTCACGTTTGCTAGGATTTTGATTTTTTTTTTACCCTAAGCAGAAAAAGGAATTTATTGACTGATGTAGTTGAGAGAGATAGTGGGGTAATTGGAGAATTAATGGAAAACCAATGGGAACCAGGGCCTCGGGTGCTGGAGCGGAGCCCTGTGCCTCCAGCACTGCTCTCCCTCACATCCTCCCTTCCTTTGCCCTTGACCCTCAGCCCTGTACCGGGTAACCTGGCACAGCAGCCCTGCTGAGCAACCCAATGCAAAGAATGTTCTCCTCTCTCAATATCTCTCAATTAAATATTGATTATTTAATCATTGTAATTATTTTCCATAAAGGGAGAATCACTTTGGCTTAACCGAGCTATGTGCATCCTTTGTAACTGATGTTAATGAGAGAAAGATCACATAGGACCTCGGAATTCTGCAAACAGGATGTCAGGTTGGGGGACACTAATGGAGTGAGAACAGAGTGACAGAGTGTCTGGCTCATTGGGTCCCTTAGAAATCAAATGTGTTGTCAGTGTCTCTCTACCTAGGGAGAATCATTTGGACACATTTATGCCAATTAAGACAATTCATGTTTTCTTGATTTATTATTAGGGACTTTTTTCCTGCTGTCTTCATGCTTCCTCTTGTTTTGCCTCCCCAGCTGTTGCTAACTGAGTCAGCAATGCCCAGAAAGTAACTTCCTCTGCTCTAAAATGCAGAAACTGGTAGACGAATGTCTCCTTATTCTCAGAGGTAAAGAGCACGGAGTTGTCCCCATTCCACTTTCATTACCAGTTTTATCTGAGTCATTATCTATCATCTGGTCTTGTTTGACAGCATCCCCTGGTGGCCTCTTGAAACAGGGAGAGAGACTAGAGGTCATCCTGTCTGGTATGGGACATGTCAGCGTCACTGAAGAGCTTTCCAGAGCCATCATATCCAGGCAGACAGCTCAGTGAGTGCTCACTGCACAGCTTATGCCTGAGAAGGCCACACTCACATCTGGTGCCCGTGAAGCCGTGCTCCAAGGTGATGTGAGGAGAGAGCCGTGGATGGGGGATGTGTGGCAGCAGCTGTGTCTGAGCATACAGAACAGATGCTGGGACTAGCAGGAGAGAAAAGGGGCAGTGTCAGGAATTCACTTCTGATTTTTCAGAGGACCCTGACCCAGGCTCACACAATGGCCACAGGTGACCCACAGCAGGTTCCCCAGAAGTAAATAAACCACCTTCTGGAGAGTCAGCTCTACCTTAGTCCTTCTGGCCTGCCATGAGTCCAGCTAATTCAGAATTCTGGTCGTAAATGGAGCGCAGCTGAAATCAGGATGCAGGTGACCACCCCAGAGACCTGCAGGTTTCCCAGGATTATTCAGGAGCTGTCTCTGGACCCTTTCCTTCCTCTTTCCTATGTCTCTGGATTAGGCTGAGGCATTCGTCACAAGCCAGGTGTGTCTGGCTGTTGCAGTGTACCTGATTCTCATTCTAAATACACAGTCGCAGAGGACAGTCCCTGCGATTTCATCACGGGGCTCACACACTCCAGACACAGCACTGACCTCACTCGAGAGGACCACCAGAAGGGTCAACGCTGAGAAATAAAGCCTTTGTTGACTTTATGAAATGCTCAGGAAGATGTTAAAAGGGGAGGAAGAAGTGCAGTGAAGACTTCAGCTGGACGGATGAGCAGAATTCTTTACCTCCAGTGTTGGGAAACATCTCCCTGCTCCTGCGCATGTCGGGTGCCGTGATGAGCCGCCATCTGCTGACGCTGCTGCAAGCTCACTCTCGGTGGCGTGTACCCTGACCTCGGATTCCAGGAGTGGAGCCGGCTTGTCCTCATCTCCTGCACCCTCCTCATGGGATTCCTCTTAACAGTGGGTCCGAGTTATGGGGTGGCTTCCAGGGTCAAGTAAGCCGGCCCAGGAGATCGCCCGGATCTTGACCTTGTCACATGGAGTTGTGCTTGTTATCACGGAGAGCAGTTTAAATGGTCCTTGTACCTGTAGATTTGCATGCAGGAAACGCGTAGAGACATTCCAGCTAAATCTTAGCCAGCTTCAGACCTTGTGTTACACGTGACCAAGGGAGGCCCATTCCGGTCAGAGGAAGTGACAACTTGGGGTGTGGCACTTCTTTCCTTAGACCAGAATGAGCCTGTTGTGGGGTAGAAGTGTTGATACCTGTTTAAAAAACCATTTTAATTCTAATAGCAGTTCAGGCTGTGGGGGAGGCATCCTGGGCCAGTGGCCGTCAAGGGCTGGGTGACGTCCCAGTCTCACTTTTCCACCCGTGTGATGAGATGCACTCTTGCCTTTGGCCCACAGGTGCAGTTCCTCTCCCCACGGGCTCGCCGGCGATTCCACGCAGCCCTCGCCTCTTGTTCCACCTCCATGCTGATCCTGTCCAACCTGGTGTTTCTTGGGGGCAGCCAAGTGGGGAAAATCTACTGGAACAGGATCTTCATACAAGGTCAGGTGCCGGGCAATTTCAGCCAGCTTCTTGTTTTCCAGGAACGCACTTGGTATCTCGGATGGGCAGCAGGGGGGCCTTCATTGTTCTGTTTATGGTATATGACCTACAGAAATACCAGCCGGGAACAATTCTCTGAGTTGTGATGTACCTCTTCTCTGCAACATGTGAAACTTACCATCAGAATGTACTTGCAGTACCAGATTTCCCAAACTCTGCCATTCCATTTGGCTGAGTTACCCTTCCATTTTTTCCATTTGTTTCTAATCTTACTGCCTGTCTATAGGTCCCAGCCTTCAATACACTGCAGAGCCTAAGATTGTTCCATTTACCACTCTGAAAGTCTTGTGAGGCTTATGTCCCAGAAGCCCCACAGTGCTCTGTGGAAGCTGTGGGTGTGGCCCTAGGGTTTGCCATGGCTCTTTGTAGGGGATGATTTGGTTGGTCTGAGCAGTTGGGACACCAGCACGGCCAGCTGACCACCTGTTTAATGTACACTAAGTGGCTAATCCCAACGTCCACAGTAAAGCCACACCTGCAGCAGGTGAAGTGCTGGCGCATGGGAATTATTGTGAAAACGTTGCATTAATAATTGATCATCACTTATTTAAGGTCACCATTTCCCTGGGGCTAGACTAAGAGTGGCATCGTGTCCTTCAGAGAATTGGGAGAGAGGGAAGCACTCACAGCACACACTACGTTAGCCAGCTGCCTGTGTTCTGTCTCCCTGGTCAGTGATGGTTTGGGAGGTTTGCCAAGCAGTGGTGACGAGACGCTGCAGGACTAGGCTGTCACGTCCACATGGTGGCAGGCTTGGCTGAGCCAGGCTCCTAGGGCCCAAGAGCACACCCCATTCTGCTTTCATCTCCTCATTGCAACACTCCTCTTTGATCTTGCTTTCCGGTAGTTCCTGCAAAGACTGTACTTTTAAGGTGGAAACTGTGCTTTAATAAAGATGGGAGATAATGGGGTGCAGAGCATCTAAAGGTGAAAAGTGCTCCTGGAGGTGGGTGACAGTGTCTTACTTGTCCTGTGTCCCACCACCCGTAGCACCGAGCACGACGCCGAGACCGCTGTGTCTCAGGGGAACAGGCGGACTCGCGGTTTGCTGGTCACATGAGCGCAAAGGCTCTGCTTTGTGCTTCGGTGAATCAAATGGATTGGGTGTTTGCGACTTGAAAGACACTGAGAGGACAGGGGTGGGATAAGAAGCACATGACAATGTGGGACCCAAGCATAAGCATGTGGATGGGGTCAGGTAATTGCTGTGCCAGGCGCTGGAGTAAGTGGTCAGAGGTCCCAGGGTGGAGTGGCCGACCTTCCTGCGAAGTTGGGCTTCCCAGAGGAGGTGAGGTGGCATTTGAGTTGGAGTTTCGAGCACAATAAGTAGGAACTTGCCAGGTGGAGAAGGCAGGCATATGGGTTATTTAACACTTGCTGCTATGTCAGATAATTCCAAACTCACAGTAATTTTTTCGCCATAGAAGTTTTTTCTTCTCGTATCACAGTGGCTTTTGCTAAGCGGTGACTCCCGGGCCTAGGAGGTTTCCCTTTTGATTACCCACTGCCCTGTCCTGGCATCATGGAGGGGAAGAGACCTGGGGATGGTGCGCAGGAACTAAATACCCTGCAGGGTAACACGCAGCATCTCCGCTCACATTCCATTGGCTAGACCCAGTCACATGACCCAGCCACGTGCAGGGTGGGGGGAAGTGGGAGAAAACACAGGTATTAGTGGCCTGGCTCAGCGGGAATAGGTACCTGAGGCAACCAGCTGGAGGTGCCCCAGAGGCAGTTGAAAATATGGTTGCAGTGAGGAAGAGGGCTGCAGAAATGACAGAGGTGTGAGGGTCGAGGACACAGAGGTGGCGGGCACGGCCATGGGAGTGGACACGAGTAGACGGGGAGTGTGCACGGGTTGGGAAGAGAGCGGGCTGGGAGGTGGAGCCTGCGGGGCTGGCATTTAAAGGGCAGAGAGAAGGACACCAGCTGTATAATGTCCTTTCTGCTTCTCAGAGCCGGAAGCTCACTGCCATTTGCCGTGCACCCCGTGGCGCCGACATCAGTTACATGGGCTCAGGGCTCTGCTGCCACAGTGTGGGTCCCACTCGGGTCTATGCCCAGATCTAGTTGTGTCCTCCTTGCTGCCTGGTGCCGGATCCTCCGGGTGCCGGAGTCCCGGGGACTGATGATCCTCTGAGCGTGGCGAGCTCTGTGAACGGTTTCTCTCTGGGTTCTGAGCCGCGGGAGCTCAGCCTGGCATTTTCTGTGTCAGATTCTGCAGTCAGCCTGGTGCTGTCTCTGGTGGTCTGCCCCGCGGCCTCTGAGTCGGGGCATGCGCACAGGGCTTGGCGGTGTCCCGCTGGCCTGGTCTTTGTCTTTGTCCCTGAGTGATTGAGTTTATGTACCTTCTGCAAGAAAGTAAAACAGATGGTGCCAAGTCCCCTACCCTTGAGGAGTCTGGGTTTTTTTAAATAACCATAAGATTAGTATGAATATTCATGTTTTGATATAAAAATATATTAATGAGTTCATTGGATGCTTCCTCAGACTCTGCTGGGATGTCATATTAGTTTTCTAGAATCTAAAACAAAACCTGAATTCTGAACCTCCTCTGGCCCCATAGGTTTCAGGTAAGGGATTGTTGACCAGGACATGTAGCTGCTGCTGAGCGAGCCAGGAGCTGGGCAGGCTGGTGGTCTCTGGTCTCTCCCCTCGGCCACACGAGTAGGTGTGGTGGGGTGAGGGAGGGGGCCTGTCTGTAGGGAGGGGATGGAGAGCCTTTCAGCTCAGTGTCTAGATCTCCAGGTTTAATAAAAGGTGACCCTTCCTTAGGTGTAGCCACCATTGTTCCTCTGTGCCTTGATGGGCTGGACCTGCTGCGGTGACGATCTCATCTCAGTGGGCCCTGGAGGCGTGGGAAGGGGGCAGACAGGCACCTGGGGGACATGGCTCAGTGGGGAGACAGGAGAGACAGCCTCGCTAGTTCTCAGAGCCCTTTCCCAGCATCACTGATGCCTTAAGAAGTAGCTCATGATGAGCCCAGAGGAATTGTCTTAAGGTCAGTGTCTCTCTTGCCTCCAGTTCACTGAATTTAGACATGAATTTGTTTGCTTTAAGCGGAGAACCTTATTTCAGTGGCTCATGTAGAAATCTCTCCTGGCCTCCATGGGGTTGGTGATATGAGGCTGCAAAACCAGAGCCCTCCGTTCCTGCCATGCGCACAGCCCTGCTGTCCAGAAGATCGGACGGGGCCAGCCAGGGTCAGAACCGCTGCTCTCTGGGTCGCATCACACACAAAGCATTTCTATTGAGTGTGATCTCTGCTGCAGAGGTTGGGAGGTGTATCGTTCAATTAATGCAGTTGAGAAAAAACAATCTGTATCTTTGCCTTAAAAAAAATCTCCAAACCTTTGTGATTGAAGCAGCCTGAGGAATGTGGATGTGTGAGTTCAGGCACAGACACCCGTGTGTGTGTGTGTAGGAGGAGCCTGGCTGGGTCCAGGGATCTGAGGAGGATGTGATCAGGTCCCCCGGCTGCTGTGGAGGGAGCCTGCTGTGCCATGCTCTGCAGAGGCAAATGCAGGTTGCTTCTTACGTAACTCTTCGGCTCCCCAAGGCACTTGTTGATGAAAAGAGCTTTCTCATGTTTGCCACAAGTCCTTGACAATGAAGTCTAAGTTGATTTTTGAACAAGCAGCCGATGACTGCTCTGTAACTCAAAAATATCCATGTGTTCTATATCCAAATCTGCACGACTAGCCTCCGTAAAACAACTGTGTCTTTGGCCTGCTGGCGATGCTCTGGTCCTGGGGCAGTGGGGAGAAAGGCAGACATGGGGATGGGTGTACACGGGACATGTATCTGGCCTCCAGGGGGCTGAGAGCTCTATGTGTGTTTGGGTGCAGGATGGTGTTACTTCAGAAACATCCATTCGCTGCTGTCAGCGGAAGGCCTGGGCTTCGTGAAGAGGGGACCTGGACATTTCAACTGGGTTCCACGTCAAGGGGGATGGGAGCTTGGGAGAGACGTGGATGTAGCAAACATTGTCCAGCCCGACTGCTCATCACGCACACACACACGCTTTCCCTCCTGTGCCTGATCTGATTTGTCACACTCCGTCTCCACACTTGGCTCCTGAAGTGGCTCCGTGTCACGGCGAGAAGAATTTTGGGTCCTTTCCCCTCCGGCTAGTGATGAGAGAGGAACTCTTAATTTTTTGTGCAGGTCAGAACCTCTACACTCCCCTATTTGTTTGTTATTTCTAACCGAGAAAGGAGAAAGTGTTTTCTCCCTGATTACTAGCCTGTCCAGGCAGTTTATTCCCCTCCTGACTCAAACAGCTCTGGGCAGGCATTTCATTTGAAGCTGAGCTGGGGTGCTGTGCTGGAAGTCCTGGACGGCTGCGGTTAATGGAAAGCCACTCCCTCATATCTGGTTAAATTCTTGGGACTGGAATCTCTTTTGATGAGAGAAGATGGAGGGCGGACGTCACTGTCTCAGGGGCCTTCCTTGCGCTCACTTGTTTCCCGCTCTTCACGAGCCCTGACCTTCACGTGGAGTTTTCGTGGCTCTGATCGATTCTGCTTCTGCCTCACTGGATCCTCTGCCGGTTCTTGAACAGCCTGGGGAGCAGGAACTTCCCACCCACTGTGCTGGTGGTGAAGCTGATACATTGGTACAGGAGAGGTGATTGATCCATGGTTACCCAGTGGTCCCTTTATGGCCATTCTTGGAATCTGAGTTTCATGACTCTCAGAAGTCATGGATCAATACTCTCGGTTTTCCCCAGAGTATTTCAGGCCCGGTCACTAGGCACAGGCTGTGAGGAATGGTGTGTGGAGTGCTTGTTCAGCAGTGCGCCAGGGCGATGCCAGACCTGAGAAGATTCCTGAAGTACCTGGGAGGGAGCTGGGGTCATTGTGCACCTGAGCCCTTTTGGTGAGGCTGCGTGAGACTTCTTCCTGTTAACTAGGAGCTTTCGTGACTTCACTTAAAAA